CCCAATCGTTTCTGTTTCCTTTGTATCACCTCCTACCCAAAACCCATTGGTTATTTCGGATCGTCGGCATGGACCTAAGCAGTAACGCCCACAACACGATTCTGAGAAAGCATGTATAAGTACTTTACAGAAAAAAAAAGAAACAAAAATGCTATACAAGACAATCATGTTTCTCTCATCGTTAATAATCGTAAGTGGGCTCAAAATAAAGGTATGTTTTCCTGTGTACACTTCGAAAATTGATTTGCATCGTGTTGTTCGTAGGGTTCTGTAAAGAAGAATTTCACCGAATGAAAGTTAGAATGTGTTGGAGTGGGGTATAGAATGCAATATACCTTTACAAAAGGGTGAAGTAACACGATAGCCCTCCATACCACATCGTAATTGCAAGGTGTAAGGGGATCGCGGGAGTCAGNNNCCCCCCCCCCCCCCTTCCCCAAATTCTTGTTGGAAAAACTCTCGAGACTAGAACGATTTTTTTTTTACCATTTAACAGTTTAAAATGCCTTTTAGGTTGATATGAAATACTCTCGTAAATGTATCAATGCAATTGGCTCAGATTCAATGTTTATCGATTCAATAGGAATTTTTCAAACTATATGGAATTATCAACACAACTACATCATCGGAGCAGCAATGTAATATTATCTATCTATCTAAATGGTGTTTTCAAATATAAGCCCCATAAATTTCGTAAACCCAGCATTGCAATAATTTGAAATTTTCTTTGGCCTGAAAAAAATGGAAAAATTTCTGGATTACGGAGAATCTTACATGGCTTTGAAGACCTTACCCCATTAGCGTAACAAAGATTTTTTGGGATTTAGCAAGTTCTGATTTAATATTTGATCAACAATATCGAAATAGGTCAATATCAATCGATAATGCATATATAAACAAATAGTGCACACCACTTCCCGCTTTCGGTTGGATAGTTGTTATATACATTCCTCTTGATAATCAGAAGTTCGGTAACCCCTCAACTTAGTTTTATCATCTCCAAAAACTTCTACTTTCTTCTGAGAAAAAATAAGGAAATTGCTCGAAGAAACGTCTGCAGAATGCGACACACAGCCTAATTATAAGTAAACATTGACTGAATATTTTTGTTGTTCTTACAGTTGTTAATTTTGCTTCTGCGTCGAGGTTTTTTTCGTGCATTCCTGATAGAACGTCAGAAACGCCAGGACGGAGGAGGCGCTCGATGTGGTAGTGTGCAATCAAAAAGTTTTGAACCATTTTCCGGTCTTTGAAAACGACGACTTCGTCGAAACGTTGGCCAGAATAAAAGTTTCCACCTAGCAACCTCAAGGCAGAAGCAAGATTAACAAATTGACTGAATAATTAATTCAACGAAGAGTTAACTGAATAAGAAATTTAGCGACCATGTTGGCACATCAGAGGACGCATAGCGAATGTATAAAAAAAGCCATTCTAAGTAAATACTGGCAAGGGCTGCTATTTTTCATAGTTTCTACGAAGGGGGTGGAGCAGTTTCGTTGCAAGATAAGTTATTATATGAGACGCTGTTTCAAAGACTCACCATCAAGCGGTAATGTCGAAATAATATTATTGTTATATTAATAATATTTTAAAAATTTTCTATATACTTTACTAAATATTGCAACAAGAAAATAAAAAACTCGAAAAGTCTTCGCGAAAAGTATGGTGGGAGAGGACTACGAAGGAAAGTTCCTGTGTTTTTAGGTTAGTGCCTAATTTACCGACTGACAAGGACATCTCGATAGAAAAGACCTATACCAAAAAGGATCATGTATGTTACCTCCTACGCGTTTCTAGACTTTTGAGTTAGGGACAAAGAACAAAGAACGCATCAAACACGAATGATTTTTGTTTGATCTCCGAGATCCAAATTCAAGAACCTGGGGTTATGGCTTTAGATTGAAAAGAATAGTAAAAATTAAAAGTTTTGGTTAAAAAAACCAAAGGACTCAAATGAGAATCCAGTATTTTAATCAACATGAGATGAAGCAGAATAATTACGGAAAATTTCGATTGAATGTGAAAAGGGAATGGAAACGTTACAGCAAGTTCTTCAGCTTTTGGCTGGTCCACAAATCAACGCCTCCGATATGAGGAGCACTTATCACTTGGTTCTGGCTGTTCGCAAAACATTCCTACTCGAAGAGAACCCCGTATATTATTTTTACAGGAAATACATCATACAATGGGATGTACGTCGACTCGATTTTGTTTATCTTTTCTTGCCACAGTTTCATATATACATATGTACACATATTGCCAACTTTTGTCTTCAAGTGTTCACAGCATGGCTTCATGAAAGCACAGCAATTATTTAACATCAAATTCCTGTTCTAATTCAGCCTGTCATCCTCAAATGAAGGGCCTAAATATTTCCTGACTGTAGATTATGTTCAGAGTGTGTCCTTGTCACCAAGAGATACCGCCATTCCTTATTTAGCACAATGTGCTCGGTCTTATTGAGATGGGAGACCAAGGGGCTAAAGTTCTCGGAGTGCCGCATCAAACGGATCGACAAAGACCGTCTAAGATTTGTGTACTTCCCACAGCCTGCGAAAAAAAACATTCATAGGAGGGAAGAACGAAGACCGAAGCATTGAGGAGTGGAAGTTCTTTCTGGATAAGACGCGTACTAGACAGCACAAGGACCTTTTCCGCCTACCACGAGCTGTGCACATAGTGGGCGAGCTACAACTAAAAGCCTCAACGTCTAGAACCTTGTAAGCGAACTAGTAAGAACTAAAAGAAAAAACACCTTGTAAGCGTTCGATACTAATCATGGTCAAAGCAGTTGTGATGCGGAAGAGAAACTGCAAACTTGATCCAAAATAAGAAAAAAGAAAGAACCAGAACGCCAGAACAAAGGTTATCGTCGTCGCCCACAGATTCTACCTCATTCGACCTCAGCGAGAGAATAGCCAACCAGCCCACTGACTTAGACCTTTTGGGACGTGGAGCGGAAGGCTGTGCATCACCACAACGACTTAACCAATTTTCTCTTAGTTTACTTTGAAAAGTGTCAACATTTCCGAAATCTCTAAATGGTTCTTCAATATATAATAAACATTCAGGGATAATAATAGTTTTCAGTGAAGTTCTTTCCATTTTTCTACATCTTATGTAGCTTCTGATTTTAAGAAGAAAACAAAGATAATTACAACGAAAGGCAAAGATAAAGACGCATTCGACAAGCTATACTACGAACATCCAGTTTTGTATGGCGATATAGAGGTTCGAATTAATGGGCGAATAGTGATGTGAGTTAATCCGAAGTTCAAAGTAGTGGTAGCTACATACAACGGCCATAGTGCTCCTCATGATGATTATTGGAGATGAGCATCGATCATAGAGATAAACAGTACATTATAGAAGGAAATGGGAGGAAAAGTAGTCGGTGTGTTAATGGGGTTTAGTAAGCACTAAACTACTCGAGGTATTCTAACTTATTATAGTATGCCTATTTTAATTTTTAGTTGAAGTAACCGTTTAGTCAGCAGTTATATTCTACCGTAGTCTCGTCAAAAGTTTCCCACTAAACCTCGAAGCGATGAATCTTTAGATGTAGTAGAACATTCCAGCAAAAGAGAAGATTCCAAAGACCTTTGCCATGATTCGTACAGCTGGATTCCGGACCACGGCATTTATCATCTGGTTGATGGAAAGTTTAGAACAATGTACTACTATCCGCATTACTACCCACACATTTTGTCATAAAACTTCTTTCTCTACAGATTGTGTGAGCAGACAGGAAGTAAAATTGAAAAAAGTAATAGTTGCATGTCAGAGCAACTATCTGAACTAGGCTTACTTCTCGAATGATCTTCTCGAATCTTCTCAACGAAAAAGAGGGTAGATGGGACAGAATGTCGAGAGGTTTTAAAGAAAACGTTGGGGGCGTTAAAAGCAAAGGAAAAAAATATCGCTACTATTGTACCGGTCTACACGTTGCAGGACGAAGGAGAAGTGGACGAAACTCGTGATCATAATGTAAAAAGAAAAAATGAGGAAGGAGTTGGACTGTACAGTAATAGGGAGTAATTTTGTAAGCGATAAGAGACAATAATGTAATGGTAAAGATTACGGCGATAGGGAATGGCAGAAACAAGGAGGTATTGCTGTTGATTATAGGGTGGAGATCATGAAAGGGAATTTCTCTGAATACGAAGAAGAAACAACCAAGACTTTAATAGAGGCAGTGAATAGAGAAACTATGCCAAGAACACACCTTCAGAGTACCAAGTGGGGTTGATGCCAGGGGTTAGAAAAGTCTTTGAAAAAATCCAATAATTGAGCCATAGCAAGTATAGGTAGCCAAATGACAGCCATCGCTGACAAATGCTTTGTAAGATTGCATGACCATGATTAGGTCAGGTCAATGAAAAGATCGATGGTAGGTAGAAACTACATATAACGATGAAAAGTTGATAATGAAGTATGCCCTGACGGTCACATTCTCGCTAATGTTTCCCACAAACAGATGGAAAATAAATGGCCTTAATGTTATAGCTACGACACCCTTCCTCCTTTCCTCTAGCATTAATAAGTTGCCGTCAATGTATCCGCTCTTTGTTCACTGCTCCCGCTTCCTCCCAAATACGGCATTTTCGGTCCCAACTACATTTTCGGTTTGAGCTCTGCCTGTCATCTCCATCAAAAAACAAAGGTCATGTGAGTTATGAAGTGGTCGAGCAGATCACACCCCACTTTTGCATGCATCGACCAAACTGAGGGATCGGGTCAGAAATGAGTAGGTTCCTTTCATTTCTTTTCTTGTGCACTTCAGCATGGTTTCACCACTCGCTTTTCACCAACTTTTGTTCACTTAATTTATATTTGGAGGAAACTGAAAGCTTCATTAGAAGACAATGCGCCATTTGACAGGTAGGAGCTTGAGCTAAAGGGGAAGGATAGACAGTTTCGCCAAATATTTCCGGTTTAGAACACTGGTTTATTTACTGTTTATTTCCCATCTAGTTGCAAACCCTAGTAGACGTTAATTAACCAATACTATTCCAGTTTTGATAACCAGCCAGCTTCTTTTGATTTTTGTTTTCATCTGCTTTCAGTTTCAAATTTGCGCTTTCCGGGTCTTTTCGGCCTTCACTTTCGGATTCTCCTGCAACAGGTGCTGTCAATTCACCTGAACCTTGCAAGTGGCACTTGCATTTAGCAATGTCTACCTTCGTGATTTTGCTTCTTCCGCATCCTTTATAATCGATTACACAGTTGTGTGCCGAGGGTTCTCGATGTCGTTTGCAAAATGTAAAATTGCACATACATCGAATTTCTTGCTCAGAAAGCTTCAGCTTACGTCGACAACGCTAAAAAGCGAGTGCCCTGCGGTCGGAACCGGTTTTAAACGATCAAAAGCCTAAATTCTGTTCGCTACAAAATACTGCCACTATACAGAACTTGCTTTAGAATGCCCCATAATTAAGTATAGCGGAAAGGGACACAAACAACTTTTGGGAAGACGTATTACCATCGGGAAACCAACGCTGGGAGAATAATTGTCTAGCTGCTGTCAACTAAGTACATATTGGTCTTCCCAATACCTTCATGGCGGAGACAAATGCCTCGAGATGCTTGATGTACGCACCGACAGTTGGCAGTAACTTGGTCAGTAAGAGGGGTTAGATTAACCCATGCTTCATTGATTGCTTTCCTTGAGTAATCCACAGAGCGACAAGATTTCAAGTAGGCTTTTGCTCACAAAATCTGTAGATCGAGGGGAAGTTCTCAGAGTGGGTATTAGCCACTTTGGGAACTGTCCCTCGACCTACGGAGCCACTTGTCTTTCGTACGGTCCAAGCAGTTGTAGCTATTCATGTCCTCAGGATCAAGCCACAGCGTTGTCTAAGCTTGACCGTTATTCCAGCCAAAACCTGCCGATGAAGCCAAGGGTTTGGAAATTTAACGACCCATCGTTTGAAGCTTGCTTGGTGCAGTGGCTGTATCTTGTATGCGTGATACCTTTACTGTCCCTCAGACCTAATAAATCTCCTCTCTCTTCTTGGTGACAAACGAATCTCGGCCCATAAATACATTCGAGATGGGTTTCGCCTGCACCTGACCTTCTTGACTCTTTGGGGTATTATCTGTACCCCAAAGGGCCAAGAAGGTCGGGTGCAGGCGAAACCCATTTCCCTGTACCTTACGTGTGTATTCCGAATCAATTTTTTTGGGCTCCTTACTGCCATGACTTCAGCGAGCCACCCAGTAGCCCCAGCTTATCTGATGTAAGTTTCGTATCTTCAAGCTCTTTACGTGGCCGTCCGAAACTCACTACTGGGTAAGTGCTCTCATTACCTTTAAAGGGGAACATTTTTGGGACAAGATCACTATGATGCAATTTTCCCCAATCCCACTGGAATTTATTAATGAGTATTAATAAAGTTATACTTTATCCACTCACACTGCAAACAGTTTTCTCCCAATTCTCCATTTCTTTTTTGATCTTCTCTAAATCCTCCGCAGTTTCAGGCACAAGGAAGAGCTCTTGCCGTTTGCGTCGCATTTCTTCCTCAGATTCGGGTGGTTCGAAGAAAAACTTGAATTCACTAATTGAGATTGAGCCAAAGACTCCTTTATCGCTTTTCATCGCACTTTTTGCGCATTCGAAGTGCCAATCGCTCTAGAACTACACCTTTTCCATATAACTTAGGAACCGCATGAATGGCCTGATAACGGTTTAGTAGGAGTGAGTCCACAAAATGCCACCAATTTTTGTATTTGATGAGCACTTGTACTCTCAAGAGAGGATAGCCAGCGGGCTGTTCAATCAACAATGATCAGAGGTACTAATCTCTCTGACAAGACCATACTTTTCGTGACGCGGAACTTTAAAAAGTTTTGATTCCCCGAGATCCGATCAACAATGATATCCAACCCGCGTTCTATTTTTCTGTCTTGAGTACTCTAACATTCTAACGCCTTATTAGATTATAGTGACGTTTCCTTAGGTCCGATCATTCAGGAAGAGTCTTCCCGTTTGAAAATCATTCACGATCACTTATACACTTGTTCAAAGGCCTTTCCCACCTTGAGTTCTTTGTCGGTCATATACAAGTCATTTGCTTTATTTGTGTTGGTTGCCGATGAAGGCCGGACGGCAGTCCTTTCGCTCGGTTCACCCGGTGAAGCCGGTTCCGTTGGAGGCGATCGGCTGAAATACAAACTGTGGCTTCAAATCATACGACTACATCCAACTAAAATTCAAGTAACCTGGCTGCGCAATAAAATGCCCTAATATGGTAAGCACCACTGTCACGTACTCGCGTTCCAGTTCCGCAAATAGGGAGGTACCAGAACTAAAGGTAACGAACTGGACTGGGACGCTGATCAAGGAGCAATGGTTAACCTACAGGACACTTGTACCTAACCTATAGAGCTTACTGAAGTAGAAATAGAGCGATAGACTCTGGGGAATAGAACAGTGAAAAAGCTCTGTTGAAGCCAACTGTGAGAACCGAAGTTGATTTCCAGGCATTTGCATTGCCGAACCAAATGGAAAACTAAAGCCCTGGAAGCAAGGTTTCATTTTCTGAGAGGAGAACCTGGGGATAAATTTTCACTCCAAATAGCCTTCCACAGTCACGACTAGTATTTGCTTTCCAACATGTGGACGTAGTCGAAATCTTTGATGACTTATTGTGCCCTATTCAATGTTTTTTGAGTTGACATCGCGCCATATGGTATCCTTTGATGCCATGAGTTCGTCTCTGATGAAATCCCATGAACCATTCTTTTTTCTTGAAGTGTGCCTTTGAGTTAAGAAGATTTCCAAATGGCCGGCCGCATGCTCTTTTTAACTAAATTACAACAAATTGTGGTTATTTTGTCGTCATGCGGCTTCTCATAGTCCGTCCTCTGTGACCGAAACGTAGTTGATGAATAGCTAGTCGTAGCTAGTCCTTATGAGTCCGGCAACATTCATGAACAGCTTCAATCCTACCCAGTAAAGCGTTCGTGTACATGGTATTCGATATTCACCTGCATACAGAGCCTGAGCTAGGTGATGGAGGCGATAAAGCTAGTGATGACTTCCGTCTACGTCTTTGTAGTAAACACTGAAAGTATAGAATCGCATTCAGAAACTAGAAAAAGGTGAAACTTTTACCTTCATTCTATTCCTTGTAAGAATGTGCTCCGCCTCCTTTTCCGGTGTCCACTTTGTGTACGAGGGGTCGATTTTATTTTCAGAGCCTCTGAAAACAGCACATTTGATTAGAGGAATGTGGATCATTTCGTTAAAAATCATCAGGCTCTCTAAATCGCAGCCAGAGCAGCTCGTGCGGCAAAAATCATGGAAAGCGCATTTCGCCTTGACAGGTATGTGTACGAACGTGCGTCAGAGGGTGCGCGCAGCAAATTGCGCGGCGAAGTTCGTAATGATTTGACGACTTGGGCGCCCATCATTGGGGCCCAANATCTGACCCTACTAAACTACACTACTTCGAGTTTGTGCCCCGCAAATCGGCGCCGCAGTCGTTCAAATCGTCACGAACTTCGCCACGCCATTTGCTGCGCGCACCCTCGGACGCACGTTCGTACCGTCCCCCCGCCTTGACTCGTTCAGCTCTAGAGTGGGAGGTCGGCAGCGGAGTGGGAGGTTAGGCCTAGTGCACCAATTCGACACAAAAAATAATATGATGCAGAATATTGCAAATATGGCGGAGAAAACGCGGGAGTCGGCGAATTTTAGGAAATATGTGACTACAAAAAGCAAAAACTGTAAAAAGGAGTTAAATTATGTGTCTATAACCATCTGGGTGTCTCCCACACAAATGTGCTATTCGTCAACGTCTTAACGTTTTACTGTGAATGGCGCGGTCTTGAGAAGGCAATAACACGGCCAGTTGTGGGAGTGTACGTCGGCCAAGTCGTTCTTGGAGCCTTTTATAAGCCCTGAGGCGGGTTCGATCCAACAGCGTTTCTTGTACTATTCTTGTGAGGCACAGGTTCATCCTAGAAGAAATCTCAAAGAACGTTTTTATCGTGGGCTGTGCCTTCAAGCCGCCCATACCACCAATACCACACGCTAATGCTATCACGTCTACATAAAAACGCTATAGAACATGGTCCTAAACTAGAATTTCTTCGTGACCGATATTCAAAGGTCTATCAAAGGCCAGCCTGCGTACTTGTGATGACTGTTGGGGGAAAAAAATTCGGCACATACTTCCGTGGTTCCTTTATGTCTGTCATTGTTCGTATAGTTTGACGGAGCCGTTTGCTGTTGCTCGGAAATAACAATGGTAACATTGTCAGTGTGCAATCTTTCGAGCTTCTGAAACATGCTGCCGAATCCCAAGCATGAATATTGGCTATATTTTTGGCAACATGCTTACAGCTAGTAGCATTAGGAGAGTGGCGTGTAGGGGTCTGGAATCCCGAATGGCGTGTTGCGCTCGCCGCAGACTTTGAAAGGAAAGATTTGATTCCCAATGAAAGGACACAGAAAGTCGCCGCGGAACCGCCGCCGCAGGGCGTGGGAATTCGGGGGGAAGTTCCGTAACCCGGTGTGTAGTGATAACTGCAATTGAGAAGGTATGACTGTAATAGTGCCCAATGAAGGCTATCCTACTTAGAAAACGTATCATACACTGGTGTGCAAAACTTAGGAACGAAAGCAACTTTCGATCGCTGAACCTCTGCCAGACGACAGAGCTCGATGAAATTTATACCATACAAGGGAGGATCATTACGGTATTGCACAGGAAGTAGCTGGCAGAAAATCGAAATAGGACTAGCAAATAAGGTAATTTTAGCGAAAGGTACCGATTACACATAGTTCCTCACAACTTATCCTAGTACTTCAAAAAAAGCGACGCGGTTCCGAATAGGGTATGTGATCACCACTGACAGGGGTAAATGCTCTGCAACGCGATCCCATACTTTCCATGAGATTGGAAGTGAGTTATTGCGGTAGGGCATAACATTTCTCTATCAGCGCAATAATTGCTGGATGGTCAGTGGTGCATTTGGACGCGCTGTAATGTCTCTACCCAACGCATCCTACACGTGCTTCATGGGATTCAGGTCGAGGGAATGAAGAGGTCACTCCATTCACTGGATAAACTCCTGTGTAAAGAGCTCTTCCACCTGATATGTTCGATGCGGTCGCGCATTGTTATCCATAAGAATGAATTCAGGGCTCACTGCAGTCCTGAAAAGCTACACTTTAGGAAGGGGTTCCTTTTCACAGTGACGCCGACTGTTAAGGGTGCCACGCTCAAAAATCTGAAGGTTAGTACGGTTGCGAAGCATGATGCCTCCTCATACCATAAACCTCGATCACCAGAACGATCAAGTTCTACAACGTTTCTGAGAGAAATGCGTGTCCCAGTTCTGGCCATGAGGATACGTCCAGAATCATTGCTCAGACTGAATCTGCTCCCATCCGGAAAAGCTGGCACCATCGTGAACCGTCTCGCCATTTCGCGAGGGTCAAGGGAATCCTACGTAGTGGTCGTCGGGCGAAGAGACCGCCAGTGCAGTCGTCGTGCCACTGTAGTGCGTGGGATGGCTTGCTTCGAAATCCTGTTAAATGACATTGCAATCAAAGAAGCTGACTGACGTGGATCTCTTCTTGCCTACTGCACAATGTAGCGGTCTTACCTTAGAGTAGTTGTTCGTGGTCGACCACCTCCTCTCCTTCGTGCAGCAGTGTAAGAGGTTCGTAATGCTCCCCGTGCACGTGAAACAACGCTGTGAGCGATATCAGGTTCCTGAGCTGCGCTCGTCATGGTTCGACCTTTTACGAGTTTCTCGATGATCCTTCCTCGTGCCAAGTCATCCAGACGATGTCTGCGGGACATGATGTATAGAAGGATAACACCACAGTACTTGGTAGCTGCTGGCTGATTGTCAAGAGAATTTTTTCGTACCTATCAGCTGCCTCGATTTGTGCGGGTAGCCATAATTGTCGCTTTATTTGAACTAGTCCTCCACCAAGGGATGTCCAACTTCCTGTGCATAACCATCATAGGTCTAGCAATATAATCCCACACTTTCATTTATTTCCAGCCTGTCCTCAATGTTTTATGTTACATTATCCATCTCGTCCCTAAGTTTTGCACACCAGTGTAGTAATGATAGCGTTCTGTGTTCAAGGGAGCTCATATTTTGAGGGAATTTCGGTCGAAGGACTGGACTGGGCTAGAGATGAGGTGGTTCCAAGCATGTTCCATTAATTGTGTCCATCTATCAGTATAAATGGTGAGTAGTTATGAGCGCCGCGCCATTGTTCTTCAGTTCAGAGACCCGCGTGAAGAACATCATTCCCGAAAAAAAAACTCACTTCTTGTATTGTTTCTGAATTGAAAAATGTACTCAGTCTTAGGAACGCGGATGACTATGAGTTTTAGGATCAAACGCATACATATGCCAATCTTCCAGGCGTAAACGCTCGTACAGAGGAAATGATTCAATTCGATTACCGTTCAAGTAATTGAACCTAAAACGTACCGGTCAATCAAAATCCCAGTGTTCATTTTGACATTCATCGTCAGTGTGCACGGGCCCATAATGCCGTAATCAGAAATACATGACATGTTGTCCCTTAACCAGTTAAAATTTAGTGACCAGAGCTGCACCAAGTAATTTTCTAGCTAACACACTGAGCACGAAAATGTCGATGGGCACATAAGGATGAATGTATTGCTAATAGTAATCATAGACCCTGGAGAGTATCATGCGATAGGTAAGAATTAATAAAGTTTGATCAGAATAATTGAACCCTGTTTGGGAATGAAGAACTTCACTGTACCAGATAGCGCAGGATTTCTTTATGGCCAATTCAATTTGCCACTACAACCGAGTATAGTTCGCTGAGCACTGTCATCCTTGGATGCATTCACCTATCTTGTATTCAAGCCCCTTCTTTTGCCATCACTAGAGTTGTTTTTGAAAAGAAAGTCGCCATGGCATTTCCCCTCATTTGCGAAAAGGCTACCTTAATTCTGTGCCGTTATAAAGTAGGAGTTGTCTATCTGGGGTGACTTCAGTTGCAATATAGACCGCCCGCTTGAGTTCGTAGACTGTGGCATCGACTGGAATCATGAGTTTAACCTGAAAACACACCGACATACACCGTACTTCACAAGAAAATGGTTTGTGTCCTCCTATCCCTAAAGCACATTTCTCAAAGGGTTTCTGACAACTTTATACGGCTAACCGACCTCCGAGTTACGTACCCGTTTATACTTATGGGTCCTCAGTACATGTAAATAGACGAATCGACCACGCTCACCATTACAGCATGGCACGATAGGTTCCACCTAGACCTCGAGGATACAGATCAGATTTAACTTCTTGGTATGCAGTGTTATGGTACTCCTAATTTTTTATTTCAATCTACCATTATGCTTTCATTTTTGGTCTAATTTTAACCAAAGGAGCTGGTAGGAAACAGTCAGAGATCTTGAGATGCGTTCTGAATTTGTTTAGATGCTCACGAAACCATAACACTGCATACCAAAAAGTTAAATCTGATCGGTATCCTCGAGGTCTGGGTGGAACTTATCGGGCCATGTTGTAATGGTGAGCGTGGCCGTGACGACCACGCTATTTACATGTACTCAGGACCCATAAGTATAAACGGGCAGGTATGTACGTGAACATACGAAGGCTGTCAAAGGATCTAGAGGTATCGCCCACGTTTGTGGCACGATTACAGCTCCAGAACATAAAATTTGTGAGGGCTATTCATTTCCTTTCGATGTGCTGCGTCTGTTCCCAGCTCATAAACTTCGGATTCAGTCCGCATTTCGTTGAGCCAGTCTCGTGAAGCCTCCCGTTTTAAACAACTTAGGTAGGTTTCTTCGAGCCGGCCACAATGCCGATCCAGTTTGGAACTGGAAAGTCAACCTGAACATTTAAGAGGATCAATCAGAACCCACATCCTTGACACCTTCCATCACACTATGAACGGCAATCTCGTAAACAGCAGTACTGGCCATCTGAGTAGGAGATACTTCAGGTGAGCATTGTTGTTCCCCTGAAAAAGATGCTAACGATAACGCAATCCCATAGTTTCCCATAGGTGTGTGGGATCACCTCCTTTACGAGGCGAATTGGAGTACATCACGTTACCGAGAGCGTTTCGAGTGAAGCTTAAGCTAAATGGCCTACCACCCCCAAAAGAATTGCTTTTATATCGCCTTATCAATGTTGATTATGAAGGCATAGGCCTATGGGTATAGGCCCGAACTCGAAAAGAGTGTATCTTTTTATTTCTTGGACTCATTGTGATGGGCAGTTCGTCTGAAGCGGGAACACTATAACCTTGTTCAGTAGATTTTTTGAGTACAATGAAACTCCCTTCTAGTTTCCAAAAGGTAAATAATCAAAGATAATGTCAGTTGGAAAGAGGATGTAGCATCTTACAGCGCACTTACACCGTCTCACGAGGTTGGCGATTTGAGCGCAAAATTTTAGCCTCGGATGGGACTCGAATTCATATTTATGCTTTCCGGGTGCTTTTTTCTGGGGTCAACCACCGGACGAGGCATGTTTTCTAGTAGCAAGTCTGTCGCTCTTCTGGATTGAACAGACGTTCCTGAACGCCTTACACCACCGTGACCTCACTCGCCATTGCCTTCTTAATGGCTCAGTTTCAGAATCACTGAGCCACAAATAGTAGAGCAAGTGCAGTGGCGCTTTCCACGAGATGAAAAGAGCACTGAAGACTCGTTGGAGGTGGATAGATCCAGTTGATTATATGAGGTTATCGCGTCCGACTACCGCCACGATCGTACATTATTGGTTAGTCACAGCTTAAACAAGGAGCACGGCTTCAGTAACATTTTTCTTGGACACTGGACGAGGCACATCGGTCTCGTAGAAGGGGGTTGCATAGTGCAATTCCACTGCTTCCGGGTCGAATAAACTTTCCTAAATCCGTCAGGTTACTTGCTTGTGCAGGCTTCTGCAACTGTGGAAACGAATCTGACGAAGTCAGCCTCGCCCGAAGCTGAAGTTTCGTCTACAAATGGCTATCCTTGTGGAGATGACAAACTCTACTTTCTTGCCGACGTGAATGGCCACCAAACCTGGACCTCCCTCACAATTAAAGGCACAGTTCACGATAAAAATTGTTCCTGAGATCCCCCTACAGGATTAATTTGAGGCCCTCGCGTATACCATATCTGGCACTATTAGGTCGGAAAACGGCTTGGTAAGGGAGTTATAAAGGCTCAAAAATTGGCCCGGGTGTATCCATCTATTAATGTTCCGGCCATCATGGAACAGGAACAGAGAGCGAAAACACCCGGGGAAGTAATAGAAGTCCAATGGAGCCGATGAAGTACCGGTAATTTATGATCTCTGGTTCAAGCTGCGTACGCCAACGAGCCTCTCAACTCTAATTATTTCATGATTGCAGACTGTTAGAGGCCATAGCCGACGCAGACGGCTGATTGCTGTATGACTTGCAGACAACGTCATCATTTCTGCGCAGTACATTGGGTTCACCATGAAATGTGGTCGACCACTGCTCCTTCTCGATGATCATTTCCACTTACACTATTCTGCTGCTCTGTGCTTCCTCAAGATCATCTTAGGTAGCGCATTGTAAAGTTCAGGAGTATGTAGTGCATGCACAAGCTACCAAGAGCATCGTTTTTAAATCCAAAGTGAGCATTTATGAGTAACAATAAGCCCTAATCGAAAGCTTTTAAGACTCTCGTGCCGGATATCTTCAGAAGAGTAGGTACATCAAGCTCGGCACAGCAGTTCTCAATCTCCAGCCGGAATTCGGCAGAAACTAAACAGGGTGCCTTTGTCAGCTCATGCTCATCTATTACACTTCTTCCTGTGCAGAAAGACACGAGTAATCGGTTGGGCCTTTTCATAGGGATAAGGGATAAAAGGATAAAGGTTTTGGCGTCAATCAATCCCGTTTGAGGGATGCGCTCCGCATTCGACTCCCATTCAGAATCGTAGTGGCATAAGAGTTCGTATGTGGCCTGTACAATGAATTGCCGTGACCAGCCGATGTACAAGTCAGTGCTTTTATCCTCCCAGGCGAGTCTGTTACCAATTCACCGACCAAGGGGGGAAGGAAGGCTTGGTTGGCCTAGGCGGATATCGATCCGGTATTCGAACTCGTGACCATGCGTGCTTGAGGTGCGCCAATTTCCACTACACCACTCGAGTACTGCTGCCCATTTGCATGCACTTGTATTGTGATGTGCATCTATTCTCATACAAACCATTCCCTCGAAACATCACAGAGCTAAACTTTTCTGTACCTTGGATGTCTGCCCTTTCCTCTGCTTCCGAACAATCGCCTATGAGTCGCCCTCAAAGTGGGTAGCTTTTTCCTGTCTCGTGTGAATTCGATTTCTGTAGGATATCATCAACAATTTTCAGGGTGTTTCCTGTCTGAATCTTGCCAATCATGTCACTGATCGGCTTGAAAGAAACAGTAGCAACTCGTGGTGTAAGCTTTAATCGAACTTCGCGCCTACCAAACTGCGTGCAAAGCCGTTGCAGTGACACGGCTCACTTTGACACCTTGAGCCTCAAGATCGCTGAAGTTGTTATGGTCAATTTTACCGCGATCACGAATCTTCTATTGATCATCGCCATCATATCTGCTAAAAAACTGAACGGGGTAAGATCTCTGTCTTACTTTTTTACTAACATTTTGTTCAGTACCAATACTAATAGATAGGATACTTTAACGACTTCCTTGGGCATGACAAATGAACCTTTCAGATTAGGGTTTGTGGGTTGCTTCGCATCTTTGAAGGATAAAGTCTTTGGGCATGAACAGTCCCGTAAGAGGGATGCGCCCCCATTCAAGATCGTAGTGGCTTATTGAATGCGTATGTGGTCTATACAATGACTTGCGGTGGCCAGCTGATGTACAAGTCAGAGCTTTTATCTCCCAGACTTTAAGCGGCCCCGGAAAGATGGAAGGCTTGGTAGGCCTGAGCAGGTATCGAACCGAGGTTCGAACCTGTGATCATGCGTGTGTGAGGTGCGCCACGCGCCGCTCCACACCACCTCTTACAGCTTCATTCTCATATATTTTCCTTGTTGTTCCCATGGTACCGAGAACTAGAGGTATCTACGAGTATCATCTAATTGTCCTCTCATTCCGAGTGGAATGATAGGAACCCGTCGTCTTGAAAAATAGCCAAAAAGGACTGTGAAGGCACAAAGGTCAAAATGTGAAAATTTGCTTATCTTTGTGAGCTAGGACCACTTAAAACCTTTCTCCTTTTTCAGTCTTCATTTTTCAAACTGGTCACCATGCTGGCGACGTTATTTCTACTTCACAGCTTATCTGCGCTGGTACTAAAAATACTGCCATTATTTCTATCGTATTCATTTCCATATCAACTGGACGCTTCCCTATATATTGACATTTTCACTAGTTATTACAGTATGCTATTAATTTTACTCCTTTCATTGGATCGCTTTTTCATGTTCATGGCGAAGCCAATTGGAGAATTTCTTTTTTCGAGGTACTTCCTTAATTTATATAAAAAGACAATGTATATAACAAAATTTGATTTATCTTCATCAAAAAAATGCAGCAACTAACATAAATATGCAAGAAACCCAAGCACACTGACTAGCTTTCTAAGTTCACCCATCCCTCTCTTATCCAACTTTCCACTACAGTGATTCCGGCGAAGCGGAAGGGCAAAGGCAATGGATTGAGAGGCTGTACCCTCTTAGATTAGTGCATTAGGCAAACACCCACTCAAATTTTTGTATCTCTGAGCAATGGTCAACTGCATGGAGTGTTCTCAAAAGTTTTTGAATTATCTGGGTTTCTTTTGATCGACTAGTAGCTGAATGATATCAACTAAAAAAAGTGGAAACCTTGAGCACAAAAGAAAAGCAAATGGATGGGGGAAAAACTTTGAAGTGCCCGATTGAAGAAAGGCTTGTGTGATATTTTTCTCGGATGTATCTCTGCCTTCTCCCGTACACCTTATGTGGCACCGTCAACCGGAAAACAGTCTAGATAGGGCGTTCAGAGATTCTATCGGCTGTATGCCACACCCAAAAACGGACGAGTTTCAACGGATGTAACATTGACAGTGGACACACATGTTGAGCATTCAAAGGACTGTGCCGTTGACCAGTGGAGGCATTTATTACGAATCAGTCAGTGTTACATTCGAAAATTAATCAATTCTGTACTGATCGTGAGGTACCTCTGCGTAAACAAATATTCTTCCCCTGAACAACAATTGTCCTAACATTCCTCAGACGACCTTACCATTTCTTCGCTTCGTTCCTACTTTGTAGAAATCATCCCGACCTATCCCATCTATTAGCAATAAGAACATTATAATGCTGCAAAAGATTTTTCTAAAGATTTTTTAATGCCATAAATGATAATCAGTGCTAGCTTTATTTTTAATCTTGAATTTGCTCACCATAGTTGCGGATTCTGGATCCTTCCGATTGGAGCGTTCATTGTGTCTGCAGCGGCAACGGTTGCTGTTATACTAGCCGACGATGTGACGAGAAAATATGTTCCCGGGCTGGGCTTCGCCGATTTCGCTGCATCAGAGACGACATCGATGGTAAGCTGAATACTGTATGTATATCTGATTTACTATATTCCACAACCACCCTTTTCGTGATTCAGTTATGTAATTTCCACGGTAGTGTATATTTATTAGACAAAATTTTGTGAGCAGCGAAGGATGCTGCCTTGTTGGCTCTGCCGACTATATGCTCGAGAGGAAATTTCTTGACAATTAATACCGAAGAAATATGGTCTGGGAAAGTTGCATTGAAGAACTCCAGTTTTGGCAACCCCCCTCCCCCTCACTTAAAAGTTAACGATAAAAATGGTTTCTGAGATTCCGCCACAGAATGAATTTGAGGCGTATACCATATTTGGCACTACTGAGTCGGAAAACGGTCTAGTTCGGGAGTGATAAAGGCTCAAAGATTGGTCCGTGTGTATACTCGGACGAGTTTCACCAGCATTGTAGAGGCTGCATCGATCACAAGGGAACCCATGTAGGAAGTTCAAACAACTTATCGTGACCAATAGCGAAGGTGAAAGACAGTCTGTACAGTTCTGGCTTGATGTAGTCAGCTCTCTGT